TAATTGATAGTCTTCATGATAATAAGTATTTCAGTGTATTCGATGGGTCTGGTTTTGGCATATAAAAGTTAGAACTGAAGATATTCATAAGACCGCTTTCATTACTCAAATGGCCACTATGAATGGACAGTTATGCTATTCGGTCTCAAAATGTTCCATTTTTCAACGTTCAATAAGAAATTTACTCGAAAAATACCAATTAACAGAATTCTGTCACAATTATATTGATGATATTATCATCTTTTCACCTTGTTTATCGAGTCACATTAATCATATACAACAATTGTTGTCAGCAGTTTCAGATTCTGGACTGAAACTGAATTTCGAAAAATGTAAATTCGCACAATTAAAAGTAAATTATCTAGGTCACCAATTATCCCTCAATGAGATTCGCCCACTCCACAGTAACATCGAGTCTATTCTCAAACTCGCACCTCCTAAATCGATCAAAGAAGTGAGACGATTTTTAGGCAAAATCAATTACAACAGAAAATTTATACAGGGAATCACTGAAATCCTAGAACCTCTACATTCATTATTGAGAAAAGAAACAAAATTCAATTGGAATTCCAATTGTCAAAATTCATTTGATTTAGTAAAAAAATTACTCACCACTGAACCTATTCTTAAAATGTTCAATCCAAATGCTGAATTGATTCTTGAAACTGATGCGAGCACGATAGGAATCGGGGCTGTTCTAAAACAACCTGATCAAAATAACCAATTGCATCCAATTGGTTATTTCTCAAAGAAATTAACTAATTACCAGAAAAATTATCCGGTAACTCACCTTGAATGCTTAGCAGTAGTTGAATCAATCAAATTTTGGCATCACTATCTAATTGATCATAAATTTCTGGTCATTACAGATCATATTGCATTGAAAGCAATCAAAAAAATTAAAAAACCCAATAGCCGATTATTCAGTTGGGCATTTTCCTTCTCAATACAATTTTGTTATAAAACAACCTCAGGAATCGATAATGAGGCAGATTACTTATCAAGAGATCCAATTCTAACTGATGAAATTGAATCTCCATAAAATTAGTTAACTTTATTGACATCGAGTCAATCAAAATTCACAAATCAACTTAAAATTGAATGAAAAGTTTTCATCAATCAAATGGGCTCAAAGTTAAAAATGATAAAATAATAATGAAAAATCATCATTCTGAGAATCTAAAAGAAACTCTTATGGACAAAGTTCATGATCAGTTCGGACATATTGTGTTCGCAAATGATAACAATTATTAGTTGGATGTACACTTGGTCTGGAATGACCAACGATGTAATTAATTTCAATAATCACTTTTGCCAATTAGGTAAAACAAGAAGAGAGAAATTAATAAGTGAATTCGGACAATTCGGTCCATCCAAATCACCATTTGAATTTGTATCAATTGATACAATTTGTGGATTAAATGGATATAAATCTAAAAAGAAATATATCCATATTGCAATCGACCATTTCTCACGATTCGTTTGGGCAATTGGCTCAAATCGTCAAACAACAACTGAATTTATTAATTTAATTCACAAAATAATGATAACTGATAAGCCAAAAGTAATTGTTGCAGATCAGTATTCATCAATCACCTCAAATGTTTTCATTGATTTTCTTACTAATTTAAACATTCAAATCAAATTCATACCAAAATCATCACCTCAGTGTAATGGTATTTGTGAAAGAGTAGGAAATACCATCATTGACAAAATTAGAATCAGAATGATAAGTAATACTACGTTTTGGTTGGATCAAATTTCTCCAACGCTCAATAGATGAATACACATCACCTCATTCAGTTACTGAATTTACACCGAATTACTTGCTTAATGGTACTTTGCCTTCGAATTGTGAGGTTAATTTCCTCCTTTGCATGAAGCTCGAATTCAAGCTTATGAAAATAGTCAAAAATATCATGAAAAAAATAAGATAATTTATCTCAAAAATCATAAAGATTATCAATTCAAAGAAAATGATAAAGTTTATGTCAAAAATTTAACTGGAATAAATAATCGTAATTGATCCTAATTCATTAGGCCCATTCAGAGTCATTAATAAATATACAATATATTTATAATATTGCAAAATCTGAATCACCTTTATAACAGAACAAATTCATTCAAAATATCTTACACCCATAAAATCAACATAATCTAATTTGATAATTTTAATTGTATTCTTTATGGTGGCAGAAGGATGTAAACTCAGTATAAAACTCAGGGCGATTAACATGAAAGCAATTTTTTTAGAAAGTAGAAGGTTGAAAATGATATTGACCAAACTCTTACGATTTAAAAAGTTCTGACTTCTGGGATATTATAATCCAAAATTAAGGTTAATTTTCCGTCGAAAATTGGCCTTTTTCCCCTATAAATCGGCTTCTGGTCACTTTACAAAGATGAAAAAAATGCCAATCCAAAGCTTAAGTAAAAAGCGTTAGGATAGACTTGGTTTGGTTCTAATAAATTAAAAGACCTAAAAGTTATGGCATTTTTTTCAAAATTTGCCATAGTCGTTTTGGATGCTAAAAAAGGTGAACCAAAAAATCCCCATGTTAAAAATCCCATAGACAAATTAACAATTAACTAAATTGCGGCGACAATTTAAGCAATTAAAACATAAAAATTGGGATTCTACCATTTTCAACCTTTCTCTTTCTAAAAAAGTTACTTTCATGTTAATAGCTCGATGTTTTATACTGAGTTTACATCCTTTTCTGCCCACCCGATAATTTTATTTTCTCAATCAACTTCTCCATTTTCAGCCATTTGAATTAATATTGGTGACGGTAATTCCCACTTTAATCGGGGGGATGTAATGTCATCATGGTAACAATAGTTATTCAAATTGAATTCTTATTCACCATTTACTCAATAGTTAATTTTACAATTAACTAATTGTTCTTATTGAGAAAGAGAAAGTAATTAATATTTTCCCTTCTTTCTTTTTCTCTTTCCTCTAAATTGTTAATTGTTTAATGTTGATTGTAACTAACTCTTAATTATAATCCAATGGTTAATATCTTAATTGTGGAATATGATTAACTAAATCATCCCGACTAAGCTGATGTGTGATTACCAGTATAAAAGGACAATCAACGATTAAACAATTAATCAGTTTTTTAAAAACTTTAATTACTCTGATTCAACAACCAAATTAACTAATGTTCACCAAAATCACCAATTGCAACCATTATTCACATTAAACTTAAATCGTTTCTCCAAATCTTATTCAATTTCATTCATTTAAACAAATTAGTTAATAACTTTCTTGAAAATTCATTCAAAATTCATCTTATTATTGAGTCTATGGTGAAAATCCATTGACTTTCATTGAAATTATTTACTTTCTGAGAAAATTCATTGACTTTCAGAAAGACATTCTATTTTCCACTAATTCTTATTAAATTCAAGTTAAACATTACATATACATGAATAAAGATCATGATACTGATGGGACTTTAATTTCATCGATAAGAACTTTTTGCTGAGAAAAATTTGATCTTCAATCGTCCATCAGGTTAATATGAATTAACAATTCGATTATCACCCGAAATTGAATTCATTTAACAGATTAACAAGTTCTACATGGCGATGAATAGATCCTCTGTTGTTCAGAGATGTTGAGATAATCTGTGAAAATTGTATTATAAGAATTACTCAGGGTTCTTGAATTTATGGAGAGAGATTTATTTCCACTAATCTTAATCTTTAAGTTTGAAGAAATTTTCTATTTTTCCTGTTTCACTAATCTCATCAACAATAATGTTGATTGTTAGTGGATTAGGATATCATGTTATTTTTCATTCATGATGATGATGAACTTGTGGAATGTTTCAGTTCAAGTTAATTATCAGAATGAACAAAAAAAGGTACAAGATAATTTTTTCTTCATCCATATTATCATAATCATCCAAATCTTAATCATCTCATGTGTAGTTGGCATTCATTTTTTTCTCGTTAATAGTAAAATTTCATTCATTTTCACGGATTTGAAGCTTGAAAATCATTCATCATATTTCATCATGAAAAACTCATGAAGCTCAAGGTGTAAACATCCTAATGAATGGATCTGGTTGTTTGGGTTGGAATGAAAAAATTGTTCCAATTTTCATTCAAGAAACTCAAATATCATTCAAAGGGTTTAGAAATTTGTATCAAAAGTTGTTAGACTTGAATGGAAAATCAATCAGATAATCATCATTATCATGGTAAATCCTTTCAGCAGATTAGTGATTTACATTAACTAAAAGAATAAATTAATCAATAGTTTAACTTAATTGTTTGAATAATTAAACACCTTAAACATTTTGTTAATGTTAAAGTAATTAATTGAAGAGAGAAAAAAAAATCCTTAATCACCTTAATCATGAAACAGAAATTTATTACTTGCATGTAAACAATTGAATCTCTAAATTTTGTAAAAACAGCAACAACAACAATTAGATTAAACTATTATTGAGAATACAGAATTTAAATTAATACCAAAAAGTGAACCTTGTATGATGACGATAATAATCATTATCCTCATTAGATGTTACCAAAGATTCAGAGCCCTGGATAGGAAAAAAAAAGAGTTTGAAAATTTTTTCTGCTCTCTTTTGATTGAGCCAAGAATAAGTTTCGTTGGCTTAAGTTACGTTAATTGCTGAGGTTCAACCGAGTAATTGAAATGTAGCCAAGAAGATGATAGGGATGAGGAGAAGAAGAGAAAAGAAAAGCAATAGAAATGGTCATCATCATCATCATCATCTCCATCTCTATCTCCACGAGAGAAGTGAAAATCGTTGATTTAAACATTTTTCTTTAAAATAGTTGAGAGAGAGAGAGATTCTGAAAATCAGATTATCATGAAAAGTTAATCTTGTTGAACTTATTTATAAATCGTCAATATTGATCATTGTAACTCTCAAAGCTTCATTGCGTTGATGGTAAATGTTGATTGTTGTGATATGGAAAAAAAATATTTGCTGTTGAATTTTAAACATTTCACTTACTGACATATCCGGTGGTCTGATGAAGGTGATGATGCGGATGAGGATTAGGATTAGCATTGGGACCTCGAAATGCTGATTCTGGTGGATAACCTGGACTCATACTTGATTCCGGTGATGGGATTGTTCCTCCTTTTCTAGGCATCTCGTAGTTATATTGAACATTAGCATTCTCGTTATTCATTGTGAATTAACTTGTTTATTAGATGTTGAGTGTTAATTGTTGAAACAACTTTTTCTTTTTATAAATCACAATGTTAATTTGTTGGTTAATTAGTTTGTCACAGAAAAGTTCATTGCTATAAAAGTGAATCCGTTTCGATTGAGAAGAAAACTTTTTCTTTTATTCTAATACATTGGTAACTTGGTGAGAGACTGTTATGATGATCACGATGATGATGATGAAGATGATGACGATGAGAAAAAGATGATGAAAGAAAGTGAGAATAGGTTAATGTAGAGAAAAAAAGTTTTTCTTCGATTTTCGCTCATGCTCTTTACTTCGAATTTTAAAGTTCATCTTCTGTCTTCAACTCGAACTTATTTCCTCTCTCAGTTAAAGATGTGTCTCCCTCTCTCAGACGTTCGCAAGAGTTTTCGAAGCTTAAAAGAATCGAATTCCAATCCATTCGAAAAAAAAATTATTCTATTAATAAATATGACCTTTAGCAACGTGATAACTAATTAATACAATTTCCGTTTCTATTGGCTGTTCCTAGAACTTAACTTTCTTTGTTATTTGATCTGAATAATCAAGATGACGGAACAATTAAACTTGATCGATTTTGTTTCGAAATTGCGAGGTTTGTGCTGCCATCTGTTGAGTGAAATTCGAAACTTTCGTTGGAAAACTTTTTTCCAAAGTTTTTATCATAAAAGAAACGATGGTAAAGTAGAAGGACGCAGAATTATCAACACGAATCATACAAGTGAATAGTTGATATTCTGAAATTCTGAGATAACATGGAAATGTAATAAATTGAATTTTTCCTTCTTTAACTTTTTTCGAAAACTTTTTTTCGAATCATAAATTATTTACTTATCAAAAGAGTCATATCATTATGAATTGTTATTCCCTGTAAGAGATTTAAATCTCTCCTCTGATTTTCTCCCACGGTTGAAATTTCGACTGAATAAATTGATAGAAAAATCAATCATGTAAAATTTAGAAGAAAAAAAATGTTCCGAGTTATTGAGAAAACCAATGAACACGAAAGTCAAAAGTTCCAAAAGTGGATTCAGTCTATTAAACCTTACCATCTAATAGTCAAGCTCAGTTGATTAACATCATGTTTACAGGGTTAAATAGTGTCTTCAAATGGACAGAGGAACTTTCCCATGAAAATATGATTTTGAAATCAGTTTGTATATATATTCATGTATAATTCCTACAGAATATTATGAATAAAAATTCTTCAAAGTCTAGACTAGTTCCAATGAATAAGAAGCTCAAGAAATAAAGTTCCTAATAGAATGTATCGACGAAAAAAACATCTCTTATTATCATGTTAAATCAAATGATGGAATAAGAAAAAGATCGACCTTTTTATAATCGTTGAATACCAATCAGAACTTAAATTTTAAGTGTAAAGTATTTACTTGAACAAAAGAGAACAAGGAATAACCTCAGGCGAGTTAGAGATTGAATCTCCATGCTTAAAGTTGTCAGATTTCAACAGAATTCCATCTGATTTCTATCAACACCATTAAATAAGAAGATTAAAAAAACAACAATCAAATAAGATGAAAATTATCGGTGAAAAATGCACCTCGCGGGCTCAACTCGATTGACTGGAAATTGAAAAACTGTCACCACATATAATTATCAAATCGATTTCAATAATCCTCTCAAGTTTAGCACAGATTTCTAAGGAAGTTGGGTTAAGGCAATTGAAAAAAACGATTTTCTCTTCATCCAATTTCCAAGTCTTGACAAACGAAAGTTTATCATGAAGTGAATGATTTAACATGGAAATTTGATATTTTATTACTCTCAACTGTTCAGAAATGATGATTGAAAAAATGGCTTTAATCATGGTAAACATGAAGTAACTATCAGATTAGTAAGGGAAGAGATCAAGGAAAAAGAAACCAAATGATATTGAATTTCCATGTGGAGACAAAAGTTCAGTTAAACAAGTTGATAAGCTCAGAACTAGCTATGAACCCCATGATGTTTATGATGATAAACGTCATGAGAAGAGGCAAAGATAGTCTGTAATTGATTAAATTAAACATGATTAAGTTTTTTTTCTTCATCATCTTTGCATTTACTGTTTCTAACTCCAGGAGTCACTCAGAATCCATGCTCAATTCCATGTCGTTTTTTTTCATGGTAAAACTTTTTTTCTCACCAATGATCATGTTCAATTCATGTTGGAATAAGATTATACTGAAATAATCGATTTTTTGTTTATCATCTCTCTATCTCTATCTCTTTTCTTATTCACCACTCGGTTTAATTCAGTTTCATATCGGATTCTTGCTCATCATCATCATTATCATTATCATTAACTCATTATAACTTTATCTTAATAGTTTGAGAAACAACAGTGTGATTATATATTAAACGACAACAATTACAACCATTGTAAACAAATCGAAATCAATAAGTTATCCATTAATCATCATTAACTATTAATCAACATACTCAGCATTATTTTGACTCATTATCACCACAATAAGAATAATTAATCAAAGTTAATCCAAGTTCAGAGTTCCGAAGGGATTGAAAAAAAAAGTTCAGTGAACATTAATTGTGATTCCATGTGATTTACCTTCCAGTGGACTGACTGGACACTTGATCACCTTTAATCCTCAATCTCAGGACAATATTCGTACTTAACAATCAACTTAAATCACTTTACAGTCTCAATTACTTTCTCTTTATCAACACTCAGCTTAATACCATGTAAGTATCATGTAATCATAATATTATTGACCCATTAATTGTTTGTGATTTGATTAAGTTGATCAAATCAACATCTCTTGATACGATGATTGAAAGTGATTGATTTTGTTTATCCATCGAGTCTTAATCTAATTTTTATTGCTAATCAATGTTATCTACATGAAAAATTTAATCTAAATTATTCAATTGTGATGATTAGATTATAACTGTTACAAAATGGATCAGATTAACAATTAACCAAAGAAGAGAAAAAATTTCTCATCTCGAAAATCAGTAACATGAAACTTTTTTTTCCCTCATTCTTTCTGTTGTGATTCAATTCATCAAATGAATCTGATTATCATGATAAACAGTAAATTAATTATGATTACTAAATGAACGATACAATGATTTAATTAACTTTAACAAGTTTATCTGTTTCTCGCTAATCAATTTAATTGTTGACTTTGTTTATCATTCTCACCTTTAGTCTTCCTCCATAATCTCACTACTTGGAAATCTGAGCCAAAATTTTATCTTCACTAATGAAGAAACCCCATGAAAACCTTTTATTAAACAGAATTACGTAATTAGAAAATTGAAATTTAATATGTAATCAAATTAATCTCTCTATTTTGATTTAATTTAATAGATTGATGTTCAATCAGATTAATGGAAACTATTAAAATAATAATGTTGATTATGTACGAAACTTTTCCCACCTTTTCCTCATTCAATCATTTCCATGTTGATAATGATGATGATTAAAGTTTTCTCTAAGAGTCAATCTCGTCAATTTATCCAATCAATCAATTATCCTTCATTCAGAATCTTCATCAGAATCCCCATGAACTTTTATCCACTACAAGCAAGAAGTAAAAATGAGACAAAACAAAATCTATTGGAACTTTTTTTTCTCATCTCAGCCAAACAAATCCTCTGCCACCCACTTTTACATGATGTGATTTTCATGGGTGAATCGGTTTACTCAAATTAACGATAATCATTACAAACACAATGATGATTAATCTTGCACAGTTAAAGTGATTGTTGGTAAACAATTAAAATCAAGTTAAACTCTCGAGGTAACCTTTCATTTTCCAATTATACAACAAGATGAAAATTAAAAGGTAACAGACAAAATCAACAGTTGATTTACAAGAGAGAAACTTTTTTCATTTTCTCTCAGTTATTTTTTTTCTCACTCTCATGGTTAACAAATTCAATCATGAGAATCAAGTTATCTTAATTGTCTTTTAAATATAATCATTTATCATAATGTGACAAAATTAGCTGATAGCATTATTGTCATTTAGTTCATTATTTACTCATTGAAAGGTAACTTTGCCCTCTAGTGATAATGTATAATAATGTTGTTATTATTTTCATTTGCAAGGAAAATTTTATCCCATTTCAGTCAATTCTAGATAGTAAAAAGTTTCTTTGTCATATTATTGTTATCATCTTAAAACATCATGTTCATGCTAAAAGGATAAAATCTGAAGACACTCAGAGTGAGTATCTCGGAACCGAAAATCTCAACGTTGATAACATTTCAGCATTGACTTAAGCCTCAGGTAAGTCATGCAAAAAGGTATTTATGTTATTGTCTCTCTCTCTCTCTCTCTCTCTCTCCATGTATTTACTTGTAGTTTAACTGATCGTCGTTTTTTTGTTACCCACATTCACATATTCAGTATATAACCTACATGATTTAATGACAGTTAAAGGAAATGAGTAAAAAAGTTCTGTTTACTCCTGAGAAATCAGTCAGTTCAACATTAATGATAATCTTCATGTTGAGAAGATCTTTTTTTTCTCATCGGTGGATATTATATTTTGTTATCTTTAAAGACTCAAGTCTCTACTTTTTTGTTTCTGTTTTGATTATTTCTTCACATATTCTCAGTATGATGTTGATCACTTTTAATCTCGATAACGACTACATAATCATATTGGAATATCAGTTCTTTTTTTTTATTGTTATGATCATTTTCTCTTAATGCTTTGTTTTACCTGGAAATTGTATTATCATACATGATGGAAGGTTGAATATTAGTTTGTAATAAGTATGAAAAAAAGTTCATCCAGATAGATTAAGTATTAGTTTCGTTCTGGTTTCCATGGTGATGATTTTTTCCTTCAGATCATATTTTCATCTGTTTTTCATCAATCACTTTTAGCTTTCTCATCATCATTGTGACTTACTGATGACGATGATTAGTTATCATGTTAAGAATTTGATTACTTGTAATGTTATCAACATAAATAGTAATCCAAAGATTCATAAAAGTTCAGTATAACTTTCGTATAAGAATTTGCTTTTTTTTTTGCTCGAACTGTAAGATAACAATATTCATCTTCCATTCAAAAACAAGGTAAATGTAAAATGTTTCAGTTTAATTGTTTTCCTTTCTAATTATAATAAACTAATTAGTTAAATTTGATTTTTAATCATCTTAATTGTATTCATCGAGATTAATTTTCACTCCGTGAGTGAAATTTTAAACTTAATCAGTTGATGTTAATTTTGCCTATTCATTAATGAATTTTGTAACTTTCTATTAGTTTAAAAGTTTACAATTAACTTGGAACAAAAAATTAAATTAGTTTAATCACCAATATCTCATTATAATGAGATTAATTATCAAATTAAAGTTGCAAAATTGAGTAAACATGATTACAGTTTAAGTTTTTAATTTAGCAATCACAAAATGATCATATTGATCGTATTTTATTTGAATAGTTAACTAATAACAATAATTTCAATGATGATTATGATCAAGAATAAATTATGAATAGAATTGAAGAAAAAAAAATTACTACCTAATAGTTAATTATCGTTGATTGTTAATTGAAATACAGAATCACGTTTTCTACAAAGATTAATCAATTGATTTTCTTAGATGAAAGTTAATAGTAGACAATTAATTCCGATGATTATATCGTATGAGATAAGTCACTTGTAATCAATTGAATTGATAAATGAAAATCTAATCAATTTACTGATTTTACTTAAGCTCAGTTGATTAACGATAATTGCAGCTCATATTTATATTAAAAGTTATACAAGTTGAAAGGTAAAAATTTTGATGAAATAAATGTTATAATAAATTATCATCATGGGTCCATGGTGATGATCTGATAATGGTTGAGATAATAATCTTAAGGGAAAACATTGTTTCTTTAATCTGTATAATAATGGGAACATTAATAATCTTCATAAGTTCTTAATTTGGTTGAAAAAAAAGGAATGTTAATTTTACCATGATGATGGTTCACCATGAAAAAAGAAGATGAAATCTTTGTATTTTCTAAAATAAGTAATAGAAACGTGACATCATAAAGAATAAGAAGAAGAAGAAGAAGAAGAAGAAGAAAAAAAATATCACCATGAGAAATTCAGCTACCATCATGAATTACATTGGAACTTTACTTTGCCCCTTTTTCTTTTGATTATATACTTATCATGATTATCTGATATTCAATTCAGCTTCATGAAACATGGACATAAACAAGCTAAATGATATTAACTTATTGTAACATTTTGTTTACTCTTCTTCTACTTTCTGATAATAATAATAATATGATGGTGATAAACAGCCTTTCACCCTGGAGTTTTAACTGAACAGGAAGATCGTTCATCTCCTTTATGATGAGATGAAAAAAAAACAAAGTAATTCTCATCTCACGTCTCATTGGTTTTCATGATATTCATATGAGAAGACAATGAATTTCATCAATTTGATGGAGAATAAAAAAACCTAAGGAAATTGTAGCTTTACTCTTATATAATATGAACTTTTCAATGAGTAGATAAAATTTAAATAAAAATTGAAACAGGAAGTTGGCGAGTTTATTAACTTTCAGACTGATGAGAAGAGGGTGGTAAATGAAGGTAAAAGAGTGGGTAGGATATTAATATTTCTGTGTCTTGAATATATTTTATTTCAATTTACAAATGTCTCGTTTGAAATGGTTGGAGAAAAATTTAAATTGTTCTCATGTTCTAATAAAAATGTTCTAAGGGTATTGTGCTGTGTTCCAAGAAATTGTTCAAGTAGAATTGCTTATTTTTTTTCCCTCAATTCCAACTTCTCAACGTTGAGTTTTTTTTTGTCTCTTTCCTTTCCTCTAGTTTTTTTCTCTCGAGTTTATATTCAAATAACTTTTTTGACATTGATGCTCATTGATTTTCATCATGGTGATGATAACTTATCATCATCATCGTTCATGGTAAACCTCATTCACAATTCAATATATTCAACAGTTTACAGTTATTATTTGTACTCGTGAGTATGATAAGCTTGATGATAATTCACCAGGAAGGTTAGATAAAGAAGAATGTTATTAAATTGTGAAGGTGAGATAAGGCAAAAAAAAGCTAGAGAATTGAAAAGAAGAAGGAAAAAAAACCAATAAGAACTGACATTATTGGTTCGATAAGTGAAAAGAAAGAGTATTTCGAATTTAAAATTGATAGATGATGAAGTTTTGATGGCGAAGAAGAAATAAAATTTTGATAATAGTTTAGAATTGGCTTTTTATCGTCTAAAGAATCATGTAAATGATTAAATTCTGTAGACTTTTTAATCTTCTATCAATTGGATAATCAAACATTTTCCATCATCATTTTTAATAAACTCCGATAATTCCTTGCATTGAATATCTGAGAGACTGGTCAGAGTATCAATTCTTAGCATAAGAAAAATTCTAATCTCAGTCTTCATGAATAAGATGAATCAATATTTCCTATTAGATAACTAATTGGAAACTCTTCCCTTCTATTACCAAAAGAAATGTTTCCTAACAAACAAACCTTATTGGTGATGAATATATAATCCACTTACCATGTTATATCATTTTCATTATATGTTATCAAACCAACTGCAAATAAGAAGAGGCTATTAGATATGATCAATGTTTTCCTAATATTAAAAAACTGTAGCAATTGAAATTGTCAACAAACTGATGACCATTCAAATACGTGAGTCTCTTGAACTCTTTTACTGGTCAGAAAT